GCTGAGCCCCAGAGGGGGCTTTGGGTGTCCTTGGCCAACTTGTGCCACAGCAAATGTCACCCAGGTGCCCTGAGCTGCTGCAGCCCCCAGTCTCAGGGCAGCTGTTCCCAGGATTTCATCCACGATGGCAAGGCTGCTGATGAAAGTGCAGGTCCATGTTCAGCCACAGCTCTTGGAAAGTGTGGAGCAAGTGCTGAAAGCCCAGAGGGGAGAACCAGGGCAGTGGGGGCACGAGGAGGAGGAGGAGCAGAAAAGGCTGAAGGAAGGGAGGCTCCCTGAAACAGCTTCCCAGAAGCTTTACTGAGACTTTGAGGAGAAAGGTGTTACAGGGGGGCACAGGCTGGTGGCACAAGATACAGGGAGTGAGGTGATATGGGACATCTACTATCCACACCCACCCCCGTGGCAGGGCAGCTGCCTCCACCACAGCCCCAGCTGCCCTTCTCCAGACCAGTTTGGAAGTTCAAAGCATTCCTCTCATATCCAGAGGTTTCATGGCCTCCTGCAAATACTCTCCAGTGTTTGCTAAGGGACAGACACCTCACATCATCCTTTCACCTTCTGCCTTGTTTTCTTGGGGCCCCATTGGTTGTGTTGGAGGCAATCAATCATCTCCAGAGCTGCTGCTCACCTCAGTCTCCCTCCCATGCTGTCCCCAAGCATTCACTGTGACATTAGTGGAAAGGCAAATTGTGCCCGGAGGGTGCTTCATCCTGTATTCCCTGTGCTGGGGAGAAAACCCCTTCAGGATATCCAGAGCCAGAGGAGAACCCTCAGCTGGGCCCTTGTGAGCCAGATCCCAGACACCCTGACCTTGGTGCTCTCACCCCCAGGCAACACAGCTGGTGAGGGAGAAGAGCCTCAACCTCCTGGAGCATCCTTCTGCCTCCCAGCAGACTCTGAGCCCACCACAGCAGTGCTGGGCAGCACAACCCCCCAGCAGGGAGCTGGTGCCCCTGCCCAGGCACCCTGCCCTGCAGGGCTCAGCACTGCCAGGGGCCAAATATTGGCACTGGTAGCATTTTGGGGCTCTCACAAGGAGGCAGGTGCTGTGCTAAATCCCATCTGAGCACTGTGGGGGATGAACCTGCTCCCAGACCCGGCCCTGCAGTGTTGGATGGACTGGGGTGCCCGTGGGTGGCACAGGTCCCTGACCCAGAGCACCCCCAGCTGGGAGGTGGCACCAGGACAGTCACAGTCAGGACAGGCAGGCGATGTTTAATCGGGATTCACACCGGAAAAGGCAGCTGGAAGGAGGGAAGGTCTGGTGTGCTCTTTGCCAGCCAGGAACAGCAGGTGTGGGCAGCCAAAAGGGAGTTTAAATGGCCCCAGCTCCACCAGTTTTGCTGAAATCAGACTGGAAGGTAGGGCTGGAGCTGGTCCCTGCTGGGACAAGTCACAGCAAGATGAGGGTATGTCAGGAAGGGGGATGTGGGGCAGAAGCAAGTGGTGCAGCTCGTTTGGAGACACGGGAGGTGCACTGAGCCACTGCCTGCATCTCCCACCCACCCCCGGGAATGGGGTGACCTCATGGTGCAGAAATTGAGTGGTGGGGAAATGAGAGACTCCTTTTTGACCTGAGTCAGGGTGGTTTCCTTTCAGAAGGCACCAGGAAGATGTTAGTGATGGGGTGATCTCATTTCACAAACACCAGTCATCCCAGTGCCGGGCACTGATGGCTGGGCTCGAGCCCCACTGAGTCCCTGCACCAGCCTGGCAACTCCCTTCTGGGTCTCAGAGTCACTTCAAAGGCCACAGGCAAACAAATACCTGTCAAAAGCAGATCAAACAGGGGTGTGTGTGTACTCTAGCCACCCTTCTCCACAGCAGATTTGTCTATCTGAAGTCAGAATGAGACATTTGGTCCCTTTTTCAATGACGAGCAAATAGCACATTTCACTCTCACCAGAGCACAGCCCTGAAGGCAAACAGGGCTGGGGCTGATGGGCCCCAGGGACCCATGGGGGGGCCATGTGAGAACAGGTGCCCTTGGGGGCCAGGCAGCCCATGGCGCTCCCTGGTCCTGCAGTGCTCGGACACCACATCACCCTGAGAGCTGGTGTTTCAGCAGAGACACCCCTTTGGGTGGGACTATCTGAAGAAAATTGAGGGCTGGGTGTGTCACAGAGCTGGGGTGTCATCACCCTCCCAGAGGCCAGCCAGGGTAGCATCACCTGGCAGAGGTGCAGGGCTGCACGAGGGGCAAGAAGGGGAACAGCCCCTCAGCAAAACCTCTGGGACTGTTTCTTTGCTACAAGAAGGTTCAGGAAAAGTCAAGTGAGGAGTTGTTCATCCTATGATTGGATTGGGAGCTGGGGGGTTTGGTCAGCTCTGGGTGCAGTGGCAGTGCCACACAAGGACTGGGGCTGTTTGGTGCCTCTCTGTCCTGGGTGGAGATGAGACCCCCCTGCTCAGAACAGCCCTGTGCAGTCAACGGGGCTTTTCCAGAGCAGGGAAGGAAGTGGACACTCATCACCCCCTTCCCCTGAATCCGTGTGAATGCAAAGGTTATGTGTTGTGTGGAGATGAGAATGCAGGAGTGGTGGCACCTTCTGGGCTCCAGATACCCACACCACCAGTCCAGGAGCCACCCCAAAGGATATTGCCAAGGGGATGCTGAAATGAAGTGCCATGAGCCTGTAAAGACTGCATTGACACACCATCACATCACAAAATAAAAGAGTATATGTTGATTTTGTTCTTTCAGGTAAGAGTCAACTATGCTTTTCCACTCCACTAGGGTGAGACTTATAGGAAATGTACTATGGACGCATCCCTAAGTCTCAAAGTGGGGATTTCTTGAAAGGAAGTACCATGAGAAGGTTAAAAATTCACTGAAGTACAGGACAGGACAAACAAAAGAACTTCTGAAAGATGAGGGAATTACCAAACCTGCGGGAACTGAGAGCCGTGACCTGAGAAGCACAGAGCAGGAGGACACTACAAATCAAATTACAAAGCCAAAGACCAACTTTGTATGATCTTTGTGCTCATTAGCATTGTAAAATATCCCCACCCACAGGCTGTGATCACCCCTTACTCACACAAGCCCCTTCCCCACAGAGCGTGAGTAGTAAAATAAGTGTGCAAGGTATCCTTAAATGGAAATGGAAGAATACAAAGCCAATGGCTGTAGCTTTAGGTCATGACCTACAGGGAAATGCTGGTTTCTATTGATCTGAGTGTATAAAACTGGGCACCTGGCATGCTGAGGGTGTGCCAGCTTTGTGGAGTCCCCACCCAGCACCCATCTCTGCGAAGGTATGAAATAAAACCATCTCTGTGTGTGGATCAGCTTCTGGCACACAGGGTGAGAGAGCCCAGATCTGGGGCAAAAGGAAGAGGGACTGGCCTGGGGGTCTGGGACTGGCCAACAGCAGGGGCTGGCACAGCCCCCAGCCTGGGGAGGGGCAGGGAGCACCCCGGGACTGCTGCACCCCAATGTCCCAGCGTGGCACTGCCAGAGCACGGGGCCAGAGCTCTGAACGCACCAGGGGAGGTGCTTGGGAAGGTCAGGCACGGTGAGGGCTCCCTAGCACAGCATTTCGCCCCCAGCGCTGCCCTGGGTGACTCAGCTCAGTCCAGGCAGCTGGAACTGGGTCTTTCCAGGAGACTGGCCTTGTGACAGCCCCGCCAGCTTCTTATCAGGGGCTGAATCAGCAGGAAGCACCTTGGCTGTGTGGCCCAGAGAGAGCAGATCTGTGCTCCCCAGCCCTGCTGCTCCCAGGGCAGGGTGCTGGGATCTGTGCTGGGCTGGGATACCCTGCCCATGGGATTCTCTGCCTGTGGGATACCCTGCCCATGTGATATCCTCCTTGTGGGATTTCCTGCCTGTGGGACACCCTGCCTGCCCTGCTGAGCCTCCAACCTGCCCAGAGCAGTGGGAGGCTCCTGCCAGAGCTGGGGACGTCCCCACTCCCTCAGCTCCTCTTGGGGCCTGTAGGGACCCCCAGCCCAGGAGCAGCTCAAGGCTGGGTCACTCCCAGGGAAGGGGTGACCACAGTCCCAGCTGGGCTATGAAAGTGTCATTTGGGCCTCTCCTGTGTCCCCTGGCAAAGCCCAGACAGCATTGCTGAGACCAGCCTCATAGGGCCATCCTCCCCCTCTGATGTGATCTCATTCTAATAAAACTTATTATTAAGGCACTTACCAATCTGTGTGAGATTCCAGGGCATTGGATACTGGAAAAATCACTCTCATCTCTTACAGACCTCGTAGAGACTCGTAACAGGAAGGTTAAGGCTGGTGAAAGCAAAGAAAGAACAGAAATGTGGGGGGGTTGTGGAACACAGAGAGGCAGAGGGACAAGGGTTAAAAGGAGAGATGTGTCCATTCAAATGAGGAGGAGGAGGAGGGACTAATAGGCTGAAGATAAGGAAGATGCCAAGCGGGGCCATGAGTACAAGTGGAAGAGTTTTGCCTAAGGCTGATGATCTCTGGGGAAAATAAAGGGGGAAAGATCTTCCAGCAGTACCCACTTCCAAAGGATATAAAAGGCAAGTCCAAGTGGGTTTGCTGCCCTCGAAGGAGCACAGAGCCAGGGCAAGGACTCTGAGGGATCCCAGCTGGACACACGTCTGGGTGTGGGGCCGGGAGTGCACAGGTGAGCTGACCTTACTTACAGCCTGTAAAATGCAACCAACCACTCTCCCCTCCCTCTAAAGGTTTTTGTGGTTTCCCCATGCTCTCCTCTGTTCCTTGCAGTGTTTCTCTTGTTCCTCCCAGACCTGATCCTTCCCAGTAGGAGGGAGCTGAGTAGGAGCAGGTGTGGGACATGGAAGATTGTCACGATTCCATCACAGCTGTTCCAGGCTGCTGGGCAAGAAATCCCTCTTTCTTTTGCTCCTCCTGTTTTATCCTACTATTGTTTTTCTCAGGAAAGGATCTGACTATCCACCAGGATTTCTGAGTGGCACAGCTTGAGACAGTGCGAGCTTTTGGGGTGGATCTCACTGACAGCATGTCAGGTGTCCAATCACCTTTCTCTTATGTTTGGGTTCACAGGAGCCTTCCCCTGAATGATGGCAAACAAGAAGCCCTTCACCAGTGCCATCATTGGGGCACTGGTGGCACTCTCCATCATCGCCCTGGTTCTCAGCCTGGTGAAGGTTGAAGATGTGACACTGCCACCCACGGTCAAGGTGAGCCCAGAAGAAGGTCCCTGAGCACCACCGGAGAGATCTGTCACCTGGGGCAGCTGCTCAGAGACAGCAGCTCATCTTCAGGGCAAGGGGGGCCACTGGGAACTGCCTTACACTAGCAGGATGGGTGTTCTGTTCCCACCTCAGGGTGCAGGCAGAAGAAACACAGCCTGGCCACCTCGAAGTCCAAGGGGAAACCTCCTCTGGAACGAGCCACTGTGCCATGCACTTGCTGTGTTTGGAGATTACCTTGGGGCAGATAGACCTGCTCCCTCTGCTCCCCCAGGGCAGGGAGATAGAGCCCCCCAGGCCCTTTGCTCCTGCCAGCTCCCACCAGCCTGTCCCGACCTGCTCACACCACGGCACGAGGATCATGCCCCCCCGTCATCCCCTGCAGCTTGGCATCCCACCCCAGCTGCTGGATGAGGGTTGGCAGGGGTTTAGGGTGACGTGGAGGGCTTTATGGGGGACAGGCAGGGGGCTCCTGGACTGGGGTGGCATGGCCCTGCCAGTCCCTGCCCAGGGTGGGTGCAGCCAAGGGGTTGCAGAGAGCACTGGAGCTGGTGAATTGCTGGCCCCAAGGTGGGGCCAGTGTAGACACAAAAGGTATGTGACCATGAAGGAAAATGAAAAAGCATGAGGAAACAATGAAGGAAATGTTTGTGTGAGCTGGCATTGCTGCATAGACCTCGGGAGAGGGAATGACAAAGTCCCTCAGCTGCCGTGAGAAATGCCTGAGGTCACCACTCTGCTCTGACACAGTTGTGCCTCAGAGAGATGGGTTTCAGGGCATATTCTGGCCCCACTACCCTGGCAGGGCCACGATGGGGTCAGGGGCAGGCTGCTGCTGCTCCTCCACTCTCATGATGTCTTGATTTTCCCCTCCAGTATGGGCTGGTGTTCGATGCGGGCTCATCCCACACCTCTCTGTTTGTCTACGAATGGGATTCAGACAAGGAGAACGACACTGGTGTGGTCAGCCAGACCTTGTCCTGTGATGTCCAGGGTCAGTATCCCCCTGCCCTGGGCTCTGTGCTGCCCTGTGTGCTTGAGTGGTGGGTGGGATGACCTGTCCCTCCCTCCTGGGCAGCTCTGTCCCTCGGGCTGGCACTGCAGGCACGGTGGGGAGCCCTGGCACCAGGCAGGGTGTCCCTGAGTCCTGGGCCTATTGGGTGGGACTGAAACACCTGGGTGGTGAGTGAATTTTCATTCCTCTACCTTGGAATGTCCTCAGCTGCTGTCCTGGCTGAGAAAGGTGTCACCCATAGAGCTGGGGACACTGCTGACGGTATGGGAGATGCCGAGAATACATAGGAGAGGAGATAAATGTGGGTCAGTCAGGTCTCCAGGGGACCCTGGAAAAGCACCTCTGTTGCTGAGGTGACAAACTCACTGCCCTGGGCCCTCCCTCATCCCCTTCCCCAGCGCTGGGATCAGCCTGTCCCAGCCTGACTCTCTTCCAGGGCCCGGCATATCAAGCTATGCCCACGATCCCCCTAAAGCTGGAGATTCCCTACGGGAATGCCTGGATAAAGCCCTGACGGTTGTTCCTGCTGCGAAACACAGGGATGTCCCAGCTTACCTCGGAGCAACAGCTGGCATGAGGCTGCTGAGGTACCGCTGTGGGGCACGGGGGTGACAGCAGTGACAGAGCCACTGCCAGGACACACTGCCCTGCGTGGGACCAGATCCCACACTGCCATGAGCAAGGGATGGGTGAATGGGGAGAAGGGAGCCCTGTGGGGACAGGGGTGTGACTGAGCTGTCCTGAGCCATTGCCTTCTCAGAGGGGCCCACCTCCTGGGGTGCTGCATGCCCAGTTCCAAGCAAGAAATGCTTCTCAGAGCTCTGTTTGCTCTTTGTGATTCCTTAAGCACAAGGGAGTTGAGATGCCACCAGGGGATGTGCCACCTGCCCAGGTGGATGGGTGCTGGTGGGGGAGCAGGGGTGAGAGGCAATGAGGTGCTACAGGACCTGCCCTTTCACGAGCCCATATTAGCTCTCTTCAAATGTCAGCCTTCATTTCATGGCTCTTGGTTTTATGGCTGCAGACATCCCACGTTATTTCTGTGCCCTGGCAGTCAGACCCTGTCCCTGGGAAGGAGCTGGGCCATAGCCTGAAGGTTCCTCGCTTCAGAGAGTGAGCACATGCCAACAGCCCCGAGATATCTTCCCCACTCAGCGGTCTGAAACCAGGCTGGAACCTTCCTGAAACATCCCCTGGAGCTCAGCTACCAGCCCTGCCTTGGGTGCAGTCAGTGGGGGACATTCAAATCTGGGTCTTGCAGCACAACCCCCTCTGTCTCCCAGCACTGTGATGGTACTTAGGCAGGGAAGGGTGTCCTGGGAAACCTCTCTGTGACTGGGATCAAGCTGCACTGGAGGGGTGAGGTTGCTCTTGCTCCTGGATGTGTGATGCCAAGCCTGGACAGCTGAAATTTACACCCTACGAGCAGCTTCTTGCAGCAGGGAATTTCCTTTCACAAAGACTGCTTGTTGCAAGGGCTGGCAGTGTGTGGAACTGTGAGATTTCCTCTGTAGTATTGGTTTTAGCTGGGTATGTGTCCTGACCTTTGAGTCCTTGCCAGGGAACAGAACAGTTCAGCAGCAGATCAAGTCCTGGCCGAAGTCACTAAAACCATGCAAGAGTACCCTGTGGATTTCAAAGGGGCCCGAATCCTTTCGGGAGAGGAGGAGGGGGCTTATGGCTGGATCACCATCAACTACCTGCTGGACTCCTTCACCAAGGTGGGAGAAAGGCAGAACACCCACTCCTCTGCTAATAAAGCTCTTCTGATGTCAGGGTTAGAGGCTGTTGGGGATATTGCAGGGGAGGGAGGCACTTATCCTCTGGCTTGCCCCCAGTGAATGGGAGAGAACTCAGGAACGGGGGTGTCTGTTAAGAGCTCAGGGCAATCTCCACACCATGTGGATGGAAGGTCTCTTGGGGACAGTGAGGTTGGCTGCACAGCCCAGTGGGGACTGTTTGCTCCTGCTGGGCTTTGTCTCCCTGCCGTGGGAAGCTCCATCTCGCCATGGCACTGGAAGACACCAGCTCTGGTTCCATGTGCCAGTCTGAAGGCAGCTTGGACCAGAACTCTGTCTTGCCACCCTCCATCCCAGCCCTGCCACAGCTCAGTGCGATGCTGGCACCGCTGGGCTCCTGTGTGAGCTCTTGGACAGAGAAAATCCCTCCCCTTGCACCAGCCCTCTGCAGCCTGGGCCTTGGGAAGGGCAGGTCCCCAGACCAGGTGCCCACCAGCACTTTGATCTGGTGACTGGTGACTCAGAGCCAGGTGAGCCCACAGAATGTTGGCACATCCTGACCTTCAGACAGCTCCATCTCTCTGGTAAAGGACTGGGCTGGCTGGGCAGGGAGGTGCCTCACACACAGAAACAACCAAATGCCCACTGAATTGAACAACAGAATCGTGTTCAATTCAATGGGATGAGAACTCTGCTGAGAGCAAGTAAGCCCAGCCAGGTACCACTCCTCTTCCTTTCCCGTCTCTGCTTGGCAGTTCTCTCCCAAAGCACGTGCGTGGCTTCGTCCAGAGGCAGCCAACGTTTTTGGGGCACTGGATCTTGGAGGAGCATCCACTCAAATCAGCTTTATGCCCGAAGGTTCAGTGATGGACCAGAATGAAGCCTCCAAGTTCACCCTGTATGGGTACAGCTACAACATCTACACCCACAGCTACCTCTGCTACGGGCAGAACGAGGCGCTGAAGAGGCTGGCGAAGGAATTAATTGCGGTGAGAGGGAACTGAGGGGTAATTGGCCTCTGGTGTCATGATGCCAACCACAGACTTGTTAATACATAAAATAAGACCTGGCAAGGCTCTTCCAGAGAGGTATCAGCAAGGACTGAGAGCAAGTTCAGGCTCCTTGGAGCATGGCAGGGCAAATGTGGAGAGGAGCACGGGAATCATAGAATCACATCCCTGGAACAGACCTTAAAGACCATTTTGTTCCACCTTCCACTAGCCCAGGTTATTCCAAGTTCCATTCAACCTGACCTTGAACACTTCCAGGGATGAGGGAAGTCAAAAGGGCATTTCAGGAGAGATCTTCTGGCTGTACACAGGGTGCACAAAAATGTGGGACCAGGCTCTTCTCAGAGGTGCAAAGTGCCAGGAAGAGAGGCACAAGCTGGAACATCTGAGTTTCACACCAGATGGAAAAGTTTGCCCCAGTAAGAATGGTCAGATATCAGAATAGAACCCAGAAGTGTGTGGAGTTGTCATCCTTGGAGATACTCAGATACTCTACTCAGAACCTGATGGGACAAGGCTCTGAGTGACCTGCCCTAGTTGGCCATGCTTTCAGGAGGGGTTTGGCATAGGGGCCCTATAGGTCCCCCCAGAACTCAGCTACTCTGTGACTGCAGGAACCTGAGAAAAGTGAACTGAAGACCTTTATTGGACCGTTTTTTGGAAGGTCAGAGTGAAATGTGTCTTCTTGGAGCTGCATTTTGCCAGCAGAGCAGCCTTGGTGAGCCAGAGGGGTTTGCTCCTGCTGTACAGCCAGGATGGTCCCAGGTGGTGCCCCTGGCTGGGACTGGAGCTAGAGCCAGAGCTAGAGACGGGGTGTAGAGGGCTTTGCATGCCCCAGAAATGATCCTGCTGGCCAGGGGAGAGACACTCTGGGATTCTGAAACAGGACTCCCTCAGTGGAAGAGGGGATGAGACAAAGCAGAGTAAGAATTAGTGCTGGGCCCAGGCTGGGACAAAGGCAGCCAAACAAGAGCAGGATTGAGCAGCAGGAGGATCTTTCCCTGCTGAGGAGGTGGGAGATGCCGGTGCCCATGGCCCTGGGGGATGCTGGGTGAGTCCTGGCCCTGGCCTGACCGCCAGGAGGGTCTGGAGGAGGCTGCAGCCTGTGTTTTGCTGTCCCCAGGAGTCGGCCCCCAGCAGGCGGGTCCAGCACCCCTGCTACCCGAAAGGCTACAATGAAACGGTCCATCTCTCTTCCTTCCGCACCAGCCCCTGCACCAACCGGAGCGACGCCCGCCTGCCCCTCGGAGACAGCACGGTGACCCTGGAGGGCAGGGGCAGTGCCAGCGGGTGCCGGGCAGCCCTCAGGGAGCTGTTCAACTTCTCGGCGTGCGGCCAGAGCCGGGACTGCACCTTCGACGGCGTGCACCAGCCCCCGCTGCGAGGGCAGTTCATTGTAAGGCAGATCCGCCCTCCCGCCCCCAGGCCAGGGCATGTCCTGAGTGCTGTGGTGTCCCCACGTGCCCCAGGGCACTGTCACCTCCCTGTAGTGAACCGGGGCAAGGAGTTCTCAAGTTAACCCCGTCCCTGGACACGCCAAAGATTGCTGCTGCCTGGTTCTTCAGCCAAATCTCCAAAGTTGTGTGAACAATCACAGAGCCACAGAATGGTTTGGGTTGGAAGGGACCATCTCATTCCATGCCCCAACCCATTATATCAGGTTGCTCAGGGCCCCATCCAGCCTGGCCTTGAACACTTCCTTGTTAATAAAATAGGTGTTGGTCAATCCCCATGGTTTTGGTAAAACTCCAGGGGTTTAGCCAGCAGCCTTCAGGCAAGGCTCTGCCTTTGCTGGCTGTCCCCTCGCTGTCACCAGCAGGCACTGACCTCCCAGCCCATCATCTGCTGGCACAGGGACAGCACTGCCCTGGGACTACCCTGGGTGGGGCAAATCCTCTGAAGGACCTCCTGATCCAGGGGAGATGGGGCAGCTGCCAGGGGCTCCCCACTGTAGCTCACCAGCATTTCTGCCTCTTCCTTTCAGGCCTTCTCTGCCTTTTACTACAACTTCAAGTTCCTGAACCTGACGGACGGGCAGCCGCTGGCCACAGCCAGGGAGGCCATCGAGCAGCTCTGCACAAGGAGTTGGGAAGATGTAAGCTCCCCACGACAGAGGCTGGGTGGGAGCTTCACAAGCAAAGGGGTTCTGGGGTAGAGGGAGAGCAGCAGGGACCCATCCAGGGAAAGGCTCCCCAGCTCTGAGCTGTGCCCTACACAGCTGAGCCATCCCTGAGCTCTGTGTGGAGCTGGGACTGTCCTGCAACCACTCGAGGGTGTTCATGCACCCTTGGTGAAAGGACAGCCAGGGCAGGCGAGGGCAGCACAGGGGCTGGGGTTGAAGGTGGGGAGGGGGATGGAGGTGGATCTGTGGCACGGGAGGATGGTGAAAGCAGAGGCAGCTGCTGGCACCACTCTGCAGACAAGTCAAGTCATAGAACTGTATAATCCCAGACTGGTTTGGTTGGAAGGACCTTCAAGCTCATCTTGTTCCATTCCTCTGACATGAGCAGGGACACCTTTGACTAGCCCAGATTGCTCCAAGCCCCATCCAGCCTGGCCTTGGACACTCCCAGGGACTGAGCAGCCACAGCTTCTCTGGGCAAAAAAGGGAAATGGATAAGACCCAGAGATGTGGCACCACCATGGGAAAGAGACATGGGAGAATCTGGGGCAGGAGGAGCTCCAATATGTCTCTCTGTTTCCATGTGGAATGTAAATCCTCCCCAAAGGAGTTGTCCTGTGTAGACAGGTCCAAAATCACTGCCTGGTCCAGAAGTCTTTTTCTGGGTGTTGTCTCTGCACGGAAATTGCTTGTGAACCACTTCCCTTCATCCCCAAACATTCCCCACCCCAGCTGTCTTCCAGCTACCCTAAAGAGGATCCCAAGCGACTGCCTAAATACTGTGCCAATGCCAACTACATCCTCACGCTCCTCCTCGATGCCTACAAGTTCAACGAGACCAGCTGGAACAACATCTTCTTCCAGATGAAGGTGAGCAGCACTCCCAGCCTGTGGGGGGAGCAGAGGTGGCACTGGGGGAGATCCAGCCCCTGTGTTGGGGTTCAGGGGGAGCCATGGTCCAAGAGAACCCTGCCTGTCCCTGCCCTGGTGTGGCACCAGTGTGGGGACAGCTGCTGCACCCCGTTTGGGCTGAGCAGGAGTAGGTGGCCCTGTGATATCAGTGGCTTTCCTGCAGGGTAATGCTGTCCCCTCTGTCCCTGGGCAGGCAGGGAGTGCTGACATCGGCTGGACACTGGGGTACATGCTGAACCTCACCAACATGATCCCAGCAGAGGCTCCAGCCAGGGTGAAGGGGCACATGCCTTCTCTCTGGGCTGCAGCCATCACCTTCATCATCCTCACCCTTGTCGTGGGGCTCACTGCCCTGCTCCTGCTCCTGTGGGTGTAGAGGCCTGGCTGTGCTTCGGAGCCCAGGAGGTATGAACTGTGCTGGGGCCTCTGTGCTCCTGCCTGCAGGACTGGCACCAAAGAACTGGGGTCTGGGCTCCCATGGGACCCCCAACGTGCAGACAGGCACTGTGTGAGTTTTCCAGAGGAGCTCTGCTCCCGTGGACACCTGATGGGATCAGCCTCCAGAAACCTCAGCCATGCCTGTCTGCCTTCTCACATCACTGCCTGTTACAGATACAGCTCCATCCCGCTGGAATGTGGGCCCGTGAGAGGCAGCCTGGCTCTGCAAGAGCTCCCCAGTGCCAGACTGTTGGTGCCCGGCTGCAGGCTCCTGGTGACGGGGTGCTCCAGCCATTCCAGTATGACCTCGGTCACCTGGCAGGCCCCTGCCAGGTGTGCCAGTGTGAGGGCATGCAGGGCTCTGCAGGACTCCAGCTGGCTCTGCTGAGTGTGTGAGGGCATGCAGGGCTCTGCAGGACCCCAGCTGGCCCTGCTGAGGGTCTGTTGCTTGGACTTACATGGAGATGGCCTTGGAGAGAAAAAGAAAACTGACCATCCAGAGTCAGAAGCACAGTCCGTGCCCCTCCAGAGGGTCCATCTCATCTCACCATCTCATCTCATCATCTTCGTGTCTGGGATAAAGGGACTGATGTTCCTGAGTGCCTCAGCGGAGGCAATACTGTCCCACCAGCAGCAGGCCCAGGCTCTGTGGGTGTCTGCTGAGACTCCAGCAGGCTGTGGGTCCTGCCCTGCACGTGGCTCAGCAGGGCCCTGCCCACGGCTGTGCCCCTGCCTTTGGTTCTGCTTGTTTTTATCTGCCCTGTGGATGACTCATATTGTTGTTTGTGTTCCCACAGCGAGGTGCTGACCTTTGGTGTCCCTGTGGAGTGTCAGACACCTCATAGCTCTTGTAACCCACATGAAGATCATAAAAGGAAGCACATGGGGAAAGTTTTGATTTTATTGCTTCCGTCTCCTGGGTAAGGGCAGGTGATGACAACAGGAGAGGCAACATTGCTCTGGTCTATGGGAGACATCCCTGGAGACACTGAGGTGTCTGCCGGACCTCGGAGAGGAGCCAGCAGGGCACGAGGACAGGCCTTTTCCTTCTGGGAGGAGGGTGTCTCACCTCACCCATCACTGGCTGTCAGTGGGACTCCTCAGAAATGTAAGGGGGGCCCTGGTAGCTGCCCCTGACACGTCCCAGCAGCGTTCCCAAACCACCCGTGCTGGAGAGGCAGGATGAGCTGTGTGCAGGCACAGGGCACGGGGTGCAGCTGGAGCAGGGAGGAACCTCACACAGGAGAGCAGAGAGCGGTGCCATTCCCCTCCTCATGGGGCTTCCCAGTCCTGGGCAGAGTCCAGGCCGGTGTCCCCCCCACAGCCCCTCAGGCTGGCTGTGGGCAGACCCTCACCCTGGGATGGGGCAGGACAGGTCTGCCCCACACGGGGTCAGTGCTGCAGGCTGTCACCAGCCCTGTGATGGCCCCCCTGCTGCCAGACCCTCCTTCTCTCCTCCCTGACCCCCCATCTCCAGCCACCCCACACTGTGGTCCCCGTGCTGAGCCCCTGCCCCACATGGCCGTGCCCTCCCTCCTGGAGCATCTCCAACCAGCAGGGTGGGAAAAGGACAACCAGAGAGCACAGAGCTATGGGGAGGATGTCTTACAACATGTGCCAGTTGCAGCTCACCAGGCCAGGGCTCAGGGCCCCCCATTGCACAGCCATGGCCCCAGGACACACTGGGGTGATTCCCTGGGCAGCAGCTCCTTGCACAGGTGTGGCAGTGGGACTTGGTGGCCTCTGCAGCCTCCGGAGCCGGTGCTGCTAGATATGCTCATAGCCTGAGGAATTCCTCTGGAGGCACATGACTGTGAGCAGGCAGAAGGTGAGGATGAGCATGATGGCCAGTAAAACTGTGACTGCTATCCAGCTGTTTCTCTGGAGCACTATGGCTCCTGGAGGAGGCTCCGAGGGAATCATGTTGGTGAGATTGAGCATGTAGCCCAGAGTCCAGCCCACGTCTACATCAGCAACCTGTGTAGGAGGAAGAGGAATGTGAAAGGCTGCAAAGTACCAGGCAATCTGGAGATCTAGAGAAGACCTCTGCTGCTGCAGCCCCAGGTCCTGCTCCACAGCCACCATACCTGTGCCCAGCTTGGGCTGCAGAGGCCCTGCTAGTGAGATAAACTGGGGGAGAGCTTAAGGGGCCAGGCCAGATGTCCCAGCAGGTGCCTGATGTGGCTCTGGGTATGGGCAATGGGGCTGTGCTGACCTGGTATCCCTTGTCCCCAGTCAGGCAGGGAAGCAGCAGGGTGGGCACGAGCCCTTTCCTGGCTGGGGGCTGCACTCTCCTACCTGCCGGACAAAGTGGATATTTAGCCACGTTTTCTGGTCGAATTTGTAGCCCTGCACGAGAAGGGTGAGGATGTAGGAGTTGACTGCGCAGGCATCACGGAGGTGGGTCCCGCTTGTCGTGGGGAACAACTTCTGCACCTGCAGAGGTGGGAGAACAGGGGTGGGCTGCCAGCAGGGAGCAGTGCTCGGTGTGCCCACGCTGGGGAACAGCCCCTCAGTGCAGCTGGGACCAAATACCAGCAGAGCAAGGAGGACCTGGGAGGAGGCCACAGCCTGCTCTCCCACTCTCCCCAGGTCCAGAGACCTTTGTGCTCCTCCAGCTGTCCCCAGCAGAGGAGGGACTGTGGATGAGCTTTCAGGCTGCCCAGCACCCAGAAGAAATGTAGGTAGGGGATAGCACCTCCCGGGCATGATCTCACCTTGTCCCAGGTCCTGGCACAGAACTGCCTGATGGTGGCATTGACCGAGGCCAGGGACTGCCCTCCCGTCAGGTTCAGCAGCAGAAAGGCACGATAAAACCCCGAAAAGGCCTGTAGGTGTTTGAGACCAAAGGTGACAGGCTGGGGAAGCACCTGAGCCACTGACACCCCCCAGTGTCCCTCTAGAGGGGTCCCTGGAAGGCAGCTGAGTGGCTGTGAGGGAGCTGGGAATGTTCCCCACAACAGCAGGGAATGCAGCTGGCACAGCAGAGGTCTGGAGCTCCCTGGCACACAGGGGAGCACCCTGCGCGTCTCCAGGAGTCAGGGACATCCCAGCTCCCAGGACTGAAACTATCCAGACTTTCCTAACCAGGTTTTCCTGTGGTTGTGGCCCAAAACCCAATTACCCCCAAAGACAGGGACGGAGGCTCCTTACGAAGAACTGTCCCCGCACGGGGGGCTGGTACACCCCGTTGAACCCGCACGGCCTCTGGGCCCCGCAGCTGAAGTTGAAGAGTTTCTGGACGGCCGTTCTGCACCTGGCTGGGTCCCCTGTGCCCGTCACCGTCAGCACCTGGGCAGGGCTGGCTGTGCT